CCTCCAATACACAGCAGTATGTGACTGGGGTTTTCATTTGAATTTTCCCAACAAGAAATGATGTTGAGGGCTTTTGCATATGCTTATTGGCCTTTTGCATATTTCCTTTAGCCAAGTGCTTCTCAGGAGAATTGAGGAAGTGGTGGTGGCAATATCTGGCAGAGAAGAGAAATAAAGGTATGATTTGGAAAAACAGACTTATCAATGATAAGGCAATTTTTCCCAGTCCTGAATATTTCTGCATTTTGGTGTTTTAAATAGACAGTAATATATAAAGTGGTTAAAAGAAGAACCCAGCCAGCACTTGTTCCTGAATATCTCCCTCTCGGCCTATAACCACTATTCACAATTCTGCCTCAGTGATGTGTTCCTTTGGTCTTCTCACTAGGAGTTCTCAGCACATTAATGTGAATGCATCTGTGGGCTTCTGTCAAGCCTCACAGCTGGCTGGGGGTGCAGTGGGAAGGGTTTGGGCACTTGGGGGTGCTGCGTTCAGGCCCTCTGGGGAAAGCATGAGGGCCCTAGTTTTCCTGGGAGAGTGGTAGAAAAGGTAACACCAGGAAAGGGAAGAAAGGCTTAGGAGAGAGAGACACAGGAAGCACCCTAAACTTTTACTTACTTCATTCTGTTTTCCCACAGTTACTCACTTTGGTAAATGTTGGAGCTGAGGAGAGAGGAAAGGGAGAAGCACAGTATGAGTCAGAAACGATGTTATTAAGCATGTTTGGAAGAGCACAATGCCAGCCAATAGGAGGCTCTGGGACAGTGTCATGGAAAGAAAGTGCTATGTAACTGCAGCAGGAAGAGTGCTGAGTGAAGAAGGTATCGCCAGCTTCCTTTAAGCCTTCCAGAAAGATCGAGGCACTTTCTGTTTATGTGCAACACATTCACACACTCCAGTAAGAAGAATCTGAGGCAGACAAGGTCTCCTCCATCTCCTAGATAGGCCGTAACCTTGTGCAGAAATGCAGGGACCTGGTCTAAGGACAAATGGGCCCCAGGGTGGAATGAAAGTAAGGTCCCGGATCACCTGACTAAGGAACCCACGTGGCTTGTAATGGGCATCTTTGCTCTAAAGTTTTATTCCTATATTCAAGCATACCGCAGCATCCATTCTCTAGTGAATATTTCTCATGTTTAAGACAGCATGATAGTAATGAATGAGCTCTGAAAGTCAGCTGCTATAAATGCCATGTGTTATCAGTTAGATCACACACTAAAGCCGAATTTTCAAAACATTTTCTGCTGAAATACCCACAACATTTTAACAGATGTCTTTTGGAGAGTCTAGAGGCAAAATAAGCTCCCATCAGCATATAAAATAAAACCCCAAAGAAAGTAAAATGCGGAGGGATTATATTTTTCTTTTGGCAGTAAGAGAAAGGTTGGGGAAAATCTTGAGATGTTTGGAGAAATGCTTGTTCACAGCCACAAAACTGAAGAAATGAATAGTGTCTATTATTTCTTGTTCTGAGCACTGACCCTAAGTATGTAGCTGTAACTTTCATTGAAGCAGTTTCATGGGCAGGTAGGGAAAGGATCTGAGAGTGTAAATTATGGGCCAGCAGGGACAGAAATGGGGTGAAAGCATCAAAGAAGCATCTTTTGTCAGCGACGGATGAGCAAGACCAGTAGTGGCTGATTCTAAAATGATCTCATCTCGGAGTCTAAGGCCTCTTAAAATCAGGGGTAAGAGGGCCAGAATGGGAGCCTGGAAAAATAAAGAGACATTTTTATGTGTGTGTTTTTCTCCAACATTATGAAAAAGTCTGAAAGTACAGAAAAGTCAAAAGAAGGGGGGCAGGGAGAGGGTGGTTGGGTGATGGGACACTGGGGAGGGTATGTGCTATGGTGAGTGCTGTGAAATGTGTAAGCCTGACGACTCACAGACCTGTACCCCTGAAGCAAATAATATATTATATGCTAATAAAAAAATTAAAAAAAAAGAAAAGTCGAAAGTACTGTATAGTGATGAGAGAGAGATCATTTTTCATGTGACACTTTGGTTCCCCGGGTGCTATCTTTGACCTTCAAGAAATGTTCTTGAATGAATCAATGAGTGGTCTAAGAGGCTTCCCACATACTTATTCCGGGGAAGCCAAGGTTGTTCACTGCTACTTCTGCATGGAGTGGTAATTCCAAAAACAGGACACCCTATGGCTCTGCTTCTGTTCTACCTATTGTTTTGGATGCTCCTTGCTCATGCTGTCTTGTCTCCCCCTTGCCTTGTTATCTTTGACTTTGTGCTGGATGTTGTGCTGCAAAATTGTATGTGGAGACAATCTGACATTATTTCTTTTGAGAGGATTTTTGTTTGCTTGGGCCAGGCACGTGGGGGTACTAGCTAGCAGTGCAACAGATTTTACTCAAGCATTACCAAGGCAGTAGGAATACAGTTATGAACAAGAAATGGTTTCTGCCCTTGTAGGTCTTACTAAGAATAAGCAAAAGGATTCATTTAAACAGAGTCCTTAAAGGATAATTTAATTCATACAAGTCTGGTCAGCATGCAGCTTTTCCTCACCTTATCCATGCGCACAGGTTAAGGACCGGCATGCTGGGCTGTGCAGAGATGCCCGGAGGCAGCAGTTCTCTTTCAGTTTTATTTCTTAGGTAGTTTTAGAAAAAAAAATCCTATGAACTGATTATATCACCATATAAAAGTCGAATCAGAAATAATCAGAACGGTTTTACTTCCTTTGACCAAACACCCAGGAAAGAGAATGCTTTAAAACACTTCACTTAAGCAGGTACTAATTTCATGGCAGAAATGGAACCAAAGTCCATTTCAATATTATAAGCTTAACTACTCTAAATCAACAGATCATCTAGAGGAGCTCGAGTGCTTTTGTCGTGGTGGTAAAACCAAAGAACAAATTCCTTCCACACACAAGCTCCAGAGCACTTAGTTTCAGGCCTAACGAGCTGGAGGCTGGAGCTCCTATCAAAACAGCGGAGAGGCGGATCAGTTGAGAAGGAATCTTCAGTGGAGTGTAACCTACAGAGACCCTGACCTAACGATGGTTGACCAAAACAGAACAGTCTCTCTCTGGACTTGGAGTCCTTAGTCATTTCCAAATGTTACCTCGTTACTTATTTAATGGCATGGCGGGGCGGGGCAGGTTCTCAAACTGATGAAAACTAAAAACCACTCCTCATCCCTCACTCCTGGAAAAAACACTCAGTAGGAGAGTTGACTTAGAAGGTTAAAGACAAACTACCAAAATTAATATATTAATATCATTAATATGTTTTATTCCCTGCAGTTTTCTGCTGTGTAATTCTTTAAATTCTTTCATGAGACACCAGAGCCTTTGGTTTCTTGGAAATGGGTTCCTTCGCCATACAGGCTTTGTTTTCAGGCTCCCTTTCTCCTGCTTCCATGATTTTGCTCTCTACTTGGCATACCCCAGGGTCTTACTTGAGACCTACACATCACTATCTGTGATGGAGGCTTAGGAGAGAAGCGGGGTAATGTCTGAACTCAGGCCACATACAGCACATCTGTCAAAATGATCATTTTCAGTGAGGGAGCCACAGACCCTACGAAATCATTTGTCTTAAATAACATCTAGATCAAAGTTAACTGGGCCTGAGGAGATGGCATTTGCTTTGCTTAAAAATTAATGAGCAACCCTGTCACTTAAAATTTAGAAACTCAGAAGAGAACCAGACCTTGAGTGCTCCACCTCCAAAACAGAGGTCTGCCATAGGCTTAAGAAAAATCAGAACTGGAATACTGAGCCTCTGATGGAACCAAACGTGGCTTGTGGTTTCCTCTATTTTTTTCACCTACTTGCACTAAAATGATCAGTGCCCTTGGATTCTATGGTGTCTGCTTCCTCCTGATATCTTGACCACAAACCTTACTCTTTTGGAGTTTCTCATCACTATTAAAATACACAAGGCTCATATCATTCAAGTGTACCAATAATTTTTTGAGTTCCTACAAGGAGGAGCCACTTTGCTGGCATCACGGAAGACTGAAAAGAAAATCAGATGTGGCTTCTAACCCCTAAGAATTTATAACCTAATAGAAGAAAAAGACACATCCAGGAAGAACTCAGGTTACGTTAAAGCAATGCTATAGGGAAAGTGCTGTAATAGAGGCCTAACTGAATCTAAAGCTGACATGGTTTAGAGTTTAAGAGAGTTTCAATATCCTACTCAGTAGATCCTGAAAAGGGGATTCTAATTACCTGATTATTCTCCAAACACGACTGGCTACATGATTCGTGGGGCCCAGTTCAAAATGAAGACGCAGGGCCCTTTACTCAAAAAAGCATGGTGTCCTTCTGAGTGTGGGACCCTGTCACATGCCCTTAAACCTGGCCCTGTCTTCAAATACAGTCTGTGAATATGGGGAAGAGGCAGATTTTAAGCAGCCTGGATGAAGAAAGTGCACACAGGGAATTTTCTTCCAAGTAGTTCACCGGAAAATAAACTCACTCTGAGGAAAGAAAAGAATTCTGTCTTTCCCAAATTAACAAATGGGACTGGGCTCTAAAAGAAAGTTACCATTTGCAAAGTCGATGTCACAGATATGGCACAGCTACATGGTAAGGGTAATAATGACCGTAGCAGTAGCAGGGATAGCTGCTGACAGACGTACAAACCTTATTAAGTGCCACCATTCTTCACAGTCAATTCTGTCGACTTACTGCTCATTTAATCCTCAAAACAGCCCTGGAGGGCAGATAGATGCTATTATTTCCCTATCTTACAGATGAGGAAACCGACCTTAGAAAGGCTGAGTCATTAATTGTCCCTGGTCACACAGTGAATAAATGGTAGAACCAGGATTTCAAGTCAGACAGTCTAGCTCCAAAGTCTGTGCTCTTAATCTGTCCTTGAAATAAGGACATATATGGAGGGAAGGAAGGGAGGGAGGCATCCTGGTATACTCATTCATTACTATCTTAGATTTGACTTAACCAGGGTATACTGTGTGTTGTGTGCATGTTTTTAATTTTTGCTTTTTTTGCATTTCATGTTCATAGTTTAACAGCACCCGTTCGCCCTCCCCCACTGAGTGTTGCCACATGACCCCATGGAGTAGAAAGGTACTGGTTCTGAGAACATTACATCACAGCCCTATCCCATTCTCTCTAGACATTTTCTTCTCTCTTTTAACTATGGCAAACTGTTCTTTCTAACTAACAGGTATTCTTTTAAATCCACTTCAAGAGTGATATTTTCCTAACTTGAATTAAATAAAATGTAATTTCGACAGCCCTGTCATTGGCTTTCTTTCTCACTTACCTTCCCCCTCTAAATTACAATTAAGGCTCTGTTCAAGATGGGCATCACCTAATGCCACTCCTGGACCTTAGACTTCGAAGGAGAGAAATTCCAACTTGCCCTGTATTTATTAGAACTGTAAAGATTCAGCTTCTCAAATCAAAAAAGAGAACAGGACAAAAGGATTCTCTGGCAGCCAGTAGTCCCTGTCGCCATTAAATAAAACACTCTTTTGGCTGCTGGTCAGAGCCTATAGTCAGGTCACTATTCTGTCTTTGTTCCCCAGTCCATTGTTATTCAAGGAAGGAATCGCCTACAAAATGTGGCCTCTGATGGTGGGGGTTTCTCTCCAGCTCTTGCTCTTTCTCCCTCTTTTTCTGTCTCTCTTTTCGAATGCACCAAACTTTTTTTTTTTTTTTCTTTTTGGAAGTTACCTAGGAAACAAAGTCTTTTGTGCTCCAACTTTATTTGAGCTATTCGCTTCGCTGGGAATCTGCACAAAAGCTGAAGAGAAAAGAAGGTTGCTATGTTTTACTAAAATGTTCATGCCGAACACATTTTTCTCAGGGCGGGGTGGGGGGAGTCATATCCTGTTGGGTGTGTTGGGGGGCTTTGCAGATACCTCTGACAAGGTAAGCAAATGCTGGGGGGTTAACTTAAACAAATGGCTCTAGAATCTTCTCTTTACGAGGACCTGAGAGCAGTTTGACAATATGTGAATCCTGAGTCAGCAGGACATGATGCTTCCAAATGTGAGGATGAGAAATTTTTTTTTCATGATTTTAGGACAGAATATTATTAAAACTTAACTGGAATAAGAGGGGGAAATATTTATTTTATACAGACACTCACCTTCCTCCAAATTATGGAAAGAAAGAAAACTAGGGTCAGTGGTGAAAACTGAGTCTTTTAATAATCTGGTTTAGAAGCCCAACCCCGAAATCAAAATCGAAGTGGAGCCTTTTTAATAATCTGGGTTAGGAGCCCAGCCCTGAAATAAAAGGTGGACAATACTAATATCTACCAAGGGCTTGGATGGAGAATTTTCAAATGTCATACTGAAGTCAAGGCCTCTAACTCCACAGCTAGAAGAAAAGCTTCCCACTGCAAAAGCCGAAAGAAACTAAGATCCTTTACTCTTCCGAATTTGAAAAAGAAAACCTCTTGGATCTTTTCCACCATCAACTGCTTTTGTATTTTCCACTATAGTAAGTGGGGGAGAGGGGCTGCTTTTCCATGTGCACACAGTGTTGATGAAACTGCATTTTTGAAATGTTATTCACAAATGCCATAGTCCTACAGTAAAATTAACTCCTTGTGATTTCATCCAGCCTCTCAGAGTAGATAGGCTTGTCCTTCGGGTGATATGTTCTGGAATGTTTCCTGACTCTAGGTTTTCTGGCACATTTTCCGAACCTTTCATAGGCATCTAAATCATCTGCTCCCTTTGATTCCAGTCATCTAGGGCTCTCAAGCCTTTCATTAGGAATATACAGGGAGATAGATATCCAGAATCTACCTGTCACTGGGTTAGAAACTAAGATTTTCCTTCAGTTTCAAGCGGGGGGACCTATGGCTACCCTGTCTCTCCTCTTAATTCCATTTAACCTGAAAAGCATGCTCCTTAAGTCCATTTTTTCTTCTGTGTCGCTTGACTGTTGAAATTGTAACTTTCAATTAGTGGTGCTTACTAACTATTTCTAGGAATCCTTCCTTTGACCTAAAAGCTTATTTGTGACCTCACTGTTCTTAACTAAACTGAAATTCCTTGATATGTTGCTTACATATAAACCATGCTGGCTAAGTTTGAATGTACTTCATTTGCAGTCCCATCCCCCGGAGGATGAAGATACAGATGTCATGTTAGGGCAGAGGCCAAAAAACCCAGTACACAATATCCCCTCGACACTGGACAAGCAGACCAACTGGAGCAAAGCACTGCCTCTCCCAACACCAGAGGAAAAGATGAAACAAGACGCCCAAGTGATTTCTTCTTGCATTATTCCCATCAATGTCACTGGTACCGTTCTGTTCTTTTCTTAGGGGCAGTCGGGTCACAATATTCTGTGTTTTAAATATGTTCAAAACCTGTGCTGCTGGGCGGGCCAGTTAAGAATACCGCTTTGTAAACAAGCAATACCTTTTTCATCAAAATACAACCCAGAAGATGTTCAATATGCTTTTGTCAGGTTTTGAACATCCATTTGCATATGTTCTGCTAGGCCGCTTGTTATGTAAATGATGGACAGTTTCTTTTTGAAAAAAGTCACCAAATAGCTCTTTGGTCATAGCCGACTGAAATAATGGAGAAAGCGGCAGTGATTAGTCATATGATAATGATGCATGGCACAGCAAAAAAGAAAACAGCAAACCCCAGGTCTCTCAAACTGCAAGTAATGATCCTGTAGACCAACTATAAAATCTGTTTTCAGGCTTCTTTGGATGAAGGTAGGCTTGTTTCAAAGATCGTTTAGATTTCCGCACTGATTTTGGCAATTTCTGACCTAAAAATATGCAGATTCAAAGATGAAAGCTGAATTCTATTCTAATCTAGCCAGCCTGGCTTACATTCCTCTCTGCCTTCCTCTTCTTGTGTACTGAGGGTTTAAATGTTAGCCTAGGTCGAACGCAAGCCTGTCCAGACTTTTCTTGAAAAGTTTATCTGTAGTGACCGTAGATGCCAGGAAACAATCTACTAATCTTAGCTGCAAGTGAAATAATGTTATGAAATATTCTCACTTTCAAAGATAGAAAATAATCTATCCATTGAGCTTTCTTTAAACAGCTCTGATAGTTATGTTTTAATTTATTTGTATATTGAAGATGTCACAATGGCCATGTTATTACTTTTATCCTGGTACCATGTGACTAAAGACGGCATGTCACTCGAGATGCATTTTGGACATGGCTACTATTAATCCCACTCAGATTTCTCTCACATACAGTGGGGAGCAAATGGTGACCAGATATCTGGTATAGAGATATTATTTCCTTCCTGAAAAACAGGAGTTCTGGTTGATCAGCTGGTTATGAGCTAGGAGAAATTTTCTTGATGACCTACTCAACTTGCAGAAGAAATTATTCTAAGGATGCATACTTTATCTGATCTCCATAATCTAAATGGGCTGGGGCTGGTATATGTCAAAATGTATCATTTCGGCATCCTCTTAAACTAACTTTCCCTTCTGGGAACATTTGATTATAAGCAGCACCTGCTTTCTTCACAGCACTGTAAGTAAATTTTGTTTTCAAATTTAGTTCTTTGATTATGGGTCTTGTGATTCAGGAAAAGGGAAGATCTTTCCTTCTGCTTTATTTCAGGAACTCTCAGACTAAAGCCCAGATTATATGTTGATTTCAAGAGCTTTAATGAGAAAGCTAATTTTGTCCATATAACATAAAGTGTGTCTGTGTGCCATGTGTTCTGTAATTATTATGAGTAGAATGGAAGATCTTAATTTTTGGTTGGAGCTAAGAAAGGAAAATTCCATTAGTATGAATTCTCCAATAATATTATAATTATTCATCATGTGATATCTCACAGATTTTTTTTAAAGTGAGTTCTAGAAACTGTTGTCACTCTGATGCTAAGCAGAACTCAAATTGCTTCGTTTTATAGCTAAGCCAAGGTTTAACACGCCAACCTATTCTGTGTATAACAATCAGGATAGATAAGACAACCAGATTCCAATGCACTTTGGGCATCCTGATTTTGAGGCAAAGCTCACTCTGAAAAATCCATGGCACATGCCTGTGACAGACAGGAGTGTGAGTTCCTCACCTCCTTTCTCACCTTTCTAGTTTTGATAAGACTACATGTAGTGTACCGATACGGTGATTATGGAGAGAGAAACAAGCGAGCCTCATGGTTTGGCCCCTATATTTATAAAAGCAAACAGACACGCATTGTAAAGACTGGGAATTCCAGCTTCATTTATAGCTGATAGTGAAGGTAGATCCACTTAAGTAGAGAACTGAGGACTGCCTTGTATTTTTATTATATATTGATAAGACACTGGTGCCATACCAAGAAGTGTCCGACTGAGTCAGTAGAAGAAAGTAGAAAGAGTTACATGATCATTTAAAAACAAATCTCTAGGCTATTTTCTCCTCGCGGGAGAGAGAGAGAGAGAGAGAGAGAGAGAGAGAGAGAGAGTGTGTGTGTGTGTGTGTGTGTGTGTGTGTGTTGTGTTGTGTTGTGGGTAGGGTTGGGGTGTAATGGAGAGAGAAAAAAACCTCACAAAGATGTTTTTAATGAAGAAACGGGTCAGGATATGTCCGCTGAATTAATTCAGGTTAACATCTTGGCTCTGGATCTACTATGCAAAGACAGCTTCAGAGAGCCCAGAAATAGACCGGTAGATAGTAGTAACTAAAGGCTGTAAGTCCTTCAGGAGCTGTTTCTGTGCGAGAGTAATTCTTTGATGTTATTTTTCTCTCCTCTTTCTTTTGATTTTCCTTCTTTGCTTGTTACTCTTGGCACTGCAAGCTGTCGTGCAGAGCTGCATTTAGAAGTAAAGCTTAATGTACTGCAGAGTAATTTAAATAGGAGCTGAATAAGGGCTCCCTTATATTTATTCACAGGCTTAATCCAAACTCTTCCTTTACTTCCAATCAATAAATATCACTGTGTTCCAAGCAAATGAAAATTTGTTTGCCATTTCTAAAGGCTAATGAGACCTATTTGTGGGTTGCAGGAGTTGGTTTTGACAGAGAGGCTAGTATACGCTGCTCTCTTGTTCATTCACAATCCGTACTACAGCGGAGACGAAAACTGAGGAGGAGGAAAACCATCTCGGGTATCCCCAGAAGAGTCCAACAAGAAATAGGTGTAGTATAAACTGTTAATGGTTAACATTCTGTTGGGTGTCAATTAGAAGATGAAATGGAAGCTGGCCTTTTCATCAGCTTCCTTAAAGACAGTGTTGTAACTTGTAAAGGTTTTGAAATGGCATGTACTTGTTCTGTGTTCAGCAGGCCGGGTGGTATTACTTTTTGAATCTCTGTTCTTGACTGTGAAGATTTAACTTTAGGGATTTAGGTATACATGTTCAGGTTTATGGCTGAAATGTAATATTTTGGAAATTTTTTTAAAAGTTTTATTAAGATGGAAGTAAGTAATTTTTTAAAGTTTTTTTAAAATGGAATAAAAAGTAACAAGATTCAATGAAAGATTATTTTTAGAAAATTATACCTTTACTTGAAGACAGATATACTTTTATGGCATTAATTATTTTAAAAAGGTAAATTTTAAGCATATTCAATTAAATATTAAATATTGATAACATGTTACCCTTTATATGACTTTTTTCCCATTTTTTTCTGTTCCATGTGTTTAGGAATCTCTTCCTGTTTTCTTATTCTTATTCTTATTACTATTACTATAGCATCTCTTTCATTACTTATAATGAATTTTAAGTTTCATTTTGCTGAGGATATATTACAAAATAAAAAAGAATAGTGACCAAGAAGACAAAATGCACTTTAATTTAAAAAAATAGTAGTCACTTATTGGGGCAAAGTAATTTGATAGTGAAGAGAGAAAATTCACAAAAGATCTAAAAACATCTTCTCTTACTATATACATACAAACTCACACACGCACCTGCACCTGTGGATATGTGTGTATGTGTGTAGAGACAGAGACAGAGCAGCAAAGGGACAGATTCCCTAAAGCATTTTAACTTTCTCCTAATTTTATACACTGATTTTTTTTCCCTCAAAGATCCATCATGCTACCACCAGGTTTGTGGATATCTCTCAGAATGTCTGTTAGTCTGCTGATGTATGAAATATCTCACTATGCTTTCCATGTGCCCTAGATTCTGACGAATCCCCTGTGGCCAGGGAAAGGAATGTGATCGTGCACACAAATCCAGACCCTTCCAACACTGTCAATAGGAGGTCTGGAACCAGGGACTCCGAGTGCCAAACTGAAGATATTCTGATTGCTGCTCCATCCAGAAGGAGAATCAGAGCTCAAAGGGGTCAAAGCATCGCAGCTTCCCTTTCTCATTCTGCTGGCAACATCTCTGCACTGGCAGACAAAGGCGACACCATGTTTACGACTGCGGTGAGCAGCCGTACAAGATCTCGGAGCCTTCCCCGGGAGGGCAACAGAGGTGGGGATGCTGAGCCCAAAGTTGGTGCTAAACCCTCAGCATATGAAGAGGGGGAGCCCTTCATGGGCGACCGAGAAAGATCATCAAATGATTGCAGTGAGGCCCCCAGCAGCCCAAGTGCACAGGAACACCAGCCTGCTCTGGGCTTGGCTTGTTCTCAACATCTTCACAGCCCTCAGCACAAGTTAAATGAGAGAGGGAGGTCACGCCTGTCCCGAGTGGCTGCCGACTCTGGCAGCTGTGACATCTCCTCCAACTCAGACACCTTTGGGAGCCCCATCCACTGCATCTCCACAGCTGGCGTCCTCCTCAGCAGCCACATGGACCAGAAAGATGACCATCAGTCATCCAGTGGCAACTGGAGTGGGAGCAGCTCCACATGCCCCTCACAGACCTCAGAGACAATCCCTCCTGCGGCTTCTCCTCCCCTAACTGGCTCTTCACACTGTGACTCGGAGTTGTCACTCAACACAGCCCCTCATGCTAATGAGGATGCCAACGTCTTCGTGACAGAGCAGTACAATGACCACCTGGATAAAGTGAGAGGCCACCGGGCAAACTCCTTTACCTCCACTGTGGCAGATCTGCTGGATGACCCCAACAACAGCAACACCAGCGACAGTGAGTGGAATTACCTACACCACCATCACGATGCCTCCTGCCGCCAGGATTTTAGTCCTGAGCGCCCCAAGGCAGACAGCCTGGGCTGTGCAAGCTTCACAAGCATGGCCACTTATGACAGCTTTCTGGAAAAGTCTCCATCAGACAAAGCAGACACTAGCTCTCACTTCTCAGTGGACACAGAAGGATACTACACTTCCATGCACTTTGACTGTGGTCTCAAAGGCAGTAAGAGTTATGTCTGTCACTATGCAGCTCTGGGCCCAGAGAATGGCCAGGGCATTGGGGTTCCTCCTACTCTTCCCGACTGTGCCTGGCAGGACTACTTAGACCACAGGAGGCAGGGGAGACCAAGCATCTCTTTCAGGAAACCAAAGGCAAAGCCCACCCCACCTAAACGTAGTTCATCACTGAGGAAGTCTGATGGAAATGCAGACATTTCTGAGAAGAAAGAACCAAAGATAAGCGGCGGCCAGCTCCTGCCTCACAGTTCCAGGGAAATGAAGCTGCCTCTTGATTTCTCCAACACACCTTCTCGAATGGAAAATGCCAACCTTCCCACCAAGCAAGAATCTTCTTGGATGAACCAGAGTGAGCATGGGATTAAGGAGCCTCAGTTAGACACTCCAGATACTCCGCCATTCAAAGATGAAGGTGCTGAATCAGCTCACTATGCGGATCTCTGGCTTCTGAATGACTTGAAAACAAATGATCCTTACAGATCTTTATCTAATTCCAGCACTGCTACGGGTACCACAGTTATTGAATGCATCAAATCTCCAGAGAGCTCTGAATCCCAAACATCCCAGTCAGAATCAAGAGCGACCACCCCATCCCTTCCTTCTGTTGACAATGAGTTTAAATTGGCCTCACCAGAAAAGCTGGCCGGCTTGGCATCTCCATCAAGTGGCTACTCAAGCCAGTCTGAAACACCAACTTCCTCTTTCCCTACAGCTTTCTTTTCTGGCCCGCTGTCTCCTGGAGGTAGCAAAAGAAAACCGAAAGTCCCAGAAAGGAAATCCTCACTACAGCAACCCTCTTTAAAAGATGGAGCTCTGTCACTGAGTAAAGACCTTGAACTTCCAATTATACCTCCTACCCATCTTGACCTAAGTGCTCTTCATAGTGTCTTGAATAAACCATTCCACCACCGACACCCACTGCATGTTTTTGCTCATAGTAAGCAGAACCCAGTAGGAGAAACACTGCGGTCCAACCCTCCACCATCCCTTGCGATTACACCAACAGTCCTGAAATCTGTTAACCTGAGGTCCATCAGCAAGTCTGAAGAAGTGAAGCAGAAAGAGGGCAACAATACAGATCTCCCCTACTTAGAGGATAGCACTCTCGCAATGGCTGCCCTGTCTCCAGGTAAGATTAAGCCACATGCGGCTAAGAAATCAGTATCACGTCAGTACTCCGCTGAAGACACCATACTGTCCTTCTTAGACTCCTCTGCAGTTGAGATGGGACCAGATAAACTACAGTTAGAGAAAAAACGTGCTTTTGATGTAAAGAACCATTGTGACCCAGAAACGGCGACCTCAGCTGGTAGCAATCTTCTAGATTCGAGTGTCACAAAAGACCAAAAACATATGGAGAGTGAGCCTGTTCCGGAAAATACAGCGAGTAAGAATTTTGACTTTCCCACAGAGGGATTTCAGAGGGTGTCTGGTGCCCGCCCAAATGAGCTGGATGGCAAAGTACTACAATATGGAGCGGGTCCAGACGGGGCCCTGGCACAGGTGCAGAAGCCATCCTCTGCAGATTGGGAGGAAGCTGCGTACCCCGAGTCTCTCGATGCGCTCCCGGCTCAGTCAGACTCGCCAACCAGACCCACAGACATAAGCAATCCACTCAAGCCTCAACCTGGGGTGAGCCGCCACCATGACAAAGTGCCTGGGAACACCAGCTGTGAAGCGGAGCTATCATCTGCAAATTCATGCCCTGAAAAATGTTCCGAGCAGGAAAATACCGCTTCAGGTGTTTCCACCAAAAGTGCCTCTGACAACAGCGGAGCAGAGGAGACCCAAGGAAGTGTGGATGAGGTTTCACTGAAAGGTCAGTTGTTGATGGCTTTGTCACAAGTGGAGAGGTGTCTCACGGCACTTCACTATGTTTTTTTCTTATGTTCCCCGTAACACAGTGCAGCCCTGGGTATTGGTTTCCCTCCTCCCCCCTTTTTTTCACTTATTAAAACGAGTGAGATAACAGTTTTTGTTTTTGAGGGACTGACTGAGCTGCGACAGATAATCTCTCTTCTTCTTTTTTTAAAAGATTTTATTTATTTATTTATTTGACAGAGAGAGAGATCACAAGTAGGGAGAGAGAGAGAAGGGGAAGCAGGCTCCCCGCTGAGCAGAGAGCCCAGATGCAGGGCTCGATCCCAGGACCCTGGGATCATAACCTGAGCCGAAGGCAGAGGCTTTAACCCACTGAGCCACCCAGGCGCCCTGATAATCTCTCTTCTTAAAAACAGCAGTAAGGTATCTGTTGATCGTTGCTGCCGCAAGCCAGCGCAAGACAGCGGCGTGCCTGCTAACGTCTTGTTAAAGATGCTTTTGTTCTCCATTTAAGAATCGTCACCGAGTGATGACTCTATGATTTCACCGCTTAGTGAAGACTCTCAGGCCGAAGCAGAAGGTGTGTTCGTGTCTCCAAACAAACCTCGTACAACTGAGGATTTGTTTGCAGTCATTCACAGGTGAGGCAATTAATACCAAACGTTTCGCTGCTTTTAGTGCGTCTCATCCAATGCAAATGCGGGAAAGCCTTGGGTACTTGGGGTGCCTTCAGCAAAAAAGAAAAAAACAAAACAAAACCAAAAAACCCAAAAACCTCGTTTTCCAAATCAAACTGATAGACTTATATTTCCGTTAGGGAACGTGAGCCTTTCTATGTAGCTCGACCTCACCTGAGGGCCTTCCGTAAGAACTGCGGAAGGGACCGGGGTTTCCCACAGGAAAGACATCCTGGAACAAGTTGTCGTTTGAAAACAATTTGTGGTTAAGTAACTTAGAGGGAAAGCTCAGAGTCTGTTGTAACCTCTGACTGAAATAATTTCTTGAACCAAAGGGGAAAAAAAAATGCTCACAGCCGCAATCCTCCCCTAGCAGAGACACAAGCCGCGCCACTGAACAGTCAGAGCCCGAGTTTGAGACAAGACAGTGTAGGAACCTGCCTGTTTCATGGCTCAGAACTAATCACTGCTCCCCCCCACCTTCCTAAAACTTAAACTTCTTTAATAACACTGGTCCTCTCTAAAATTAGTACTCCAAATCCCACAAACAGAGGATGTCCTCTGGGCTATTTTTGCAGGACACTGTTGTGTCCAGGCTGCCCATTCACATTCTCTCACGCGCCCCCTGCCATCAAGGGCCATGTCTGCAAGAGTACGTCCTCTTTGCAGTTTGTGACTGACAAACAGAGCAGGAACTCGCACGGACGCGAACCCAGATTGGACTGAGCGAGCCAACCGTGCTGTGCCTGCTCCTTTCACAGCCACGCCTACCTTCTTCCACTAGGCCTTGGACCTACATGGGATTCCCAAGGGACACAACTTGCAAACTGCCTTTTCTACCTTATGAAGTTATACTTTTTAAAAAGGATTTTATTTATTCATTTGAGAGAGAGAGAGACAGAGAGAGAGCGCATATAGGCAGGGGTAAAGGGAGAGGGAGAAGCAGACTCCCCATTGAGCAGGGAGACCCTGGGATCATGACCTGAGTTGAAGGCAGACGGTTAACCAACTGAACCACCCAGGCACCCCTGAAGATATACTTTTTTGAAGCAAGTTTTTTGCAAGAAGCTTGCCATTTTTCCTGGAATGCTACTTTTTTTTTTCTTTTTAGATTTATTTATCTATTTGAGGGAGAGAGGGAGAGAGCAGGAGCGGAGGGAGGAGCAGAGAGAGAAGGAGAAGCAGACCCCCTGCTGAGCGGGGAGCCCAACACAGGGCTCGATCCCAGGACCCTGAGGTCATCACCCGAGCCAGGTTAAACAGCTGCTTAACCAACTGAGCCACCCAGGCGCCCTGGAATTCTACTTTTAAAGGGAACTTGCATTTTCTGTTGATGTGGTTTTCCCATAAAGAAGGAGCACAGCTCTTCAACAGCTTTTTTTTTTAAAGACTCAATCAAAAACCCTTTCTGTGTGTACATACCTTACCAGGCACACCTCACCACTCAGAGAGTGAAGAATCAGTTTACTTTTTTCTTTGCTCTGTGTGTAGTCTAAGATCCAATTATACTTCCCACCCCCCGCTTTATCTTAGGACAAGTTACTAAAATGCTACATAAGTTAAAGAGTCAAGTCCTTACCCCAAAGGACCAAATGTCAGTATCTGGAATAGTGGACAGAACATAAGTAGTGAAGTCAGAATCATCTGGAATTGAATCTCAGTGCTACCACTTTGTATCCAGTCTTGTCAGTTAAAACCTCTCTACCCATTCCCTGACTGTTAGTGGAAATACCTATACTCACATATTCAATTTTGATGCTAAAATAACATTTTAGTGTCTAGACTATGGTAGATGTTAAAAGCAAATGCTAGTTTGGAATTCCTACTGTACTGGAGTGCCAGACACTGGCCTATGCGATCTAACCACAAAGGTTTCAGTGAACAAAAATGAGGCTGGTCTCCAACTGCAAAGCTGAAATTTTCTCTACTCTATGGATTTTTAGGTTGGTGAAAGAGCATGCTTCCAATATTTATCAACATACTGAATCATGCAAAGATTCACTAAGTTTACACCTATGTACTTATCAAAAGAAATAATATGATGATGGATCCCTATGTTTGGTGGACTTACAGAGCTTGGTAATCTTAGATTTGCATTTGTATCGGATTTATTTATGTGTAGCACAGTGACAAAAATGACCTTGCCTTTGTGTGTATGTGTGTGTGTGTGTGTATGACACTTTTTTTTTACCTTGTTTTCTTGAGGGTTTACAGTATATAGAGCTTTAAGAGCTCCAGAGGCAGTCTAGGTCTTTAGCTTCTCACAGAAAGTTGATTTACTGAGTCATAACACTGCTGTTACTAAGCAGCTACAGAAAATTGTCTTTACAGCCAAAAATGGACTGACTGATTTAAAAAGTCATGTAAGAAATTTTTTTATAGAGAGAAATTTAAAAAGTTGACAGAACAGTATAACATACCACCCCAGACACACATATCCGTTACCCAAGCCTGTCCACCATCAACCTATGGCTAATCCTGTCTCATCCACACCTCTATCCGCTTTGCTCTTCTGGTACTCACTGGAAGCCGAGCCCACACATCAGAGCATTTAATATGTAATGTGGAGACAGATTTAATACGAGAAAGCTACAGTCCTTCACTGCCTACACTCTAACCAGAAGTCAGACAGCAATATCTTCTCATAGTCTTGTAAAACATCCCAGTAAGTCCTCCTCTATTAGCGCCAGCCTCCACATGAGTCATTATGTGAGATGGTCATTTACAGAACCTAGTTTCAGTCCACTGGTTATTGGAGAATTTCCCTCGGGCCGTGAGTGCTATAAGGGCAAGGAACGTATCTCCCTCCTCACCTCCTAATGCCACCTAGCCAATCAGATAGGGCCCACCAAACTGCTCTTCAAGGACAATGCATGAATGTGACTTAACACTTCCAGTTTCAGAAAAATGTGTGCGGACTGAGGTTTTTCCTTTTCTTGAAAGGTCTAAGAGAAAAGTCCTTGGAAGAAAAGACTCCGGGGATATGTCGGCTCGAAGCAAATCGAGGGCTTCCCTCGGCAGTAGCAGCAGCAGCAGCAGCGCTGGTTCTGGTACTTTGCCCAACAGCAACGTGACCACCCCAAACAGCCAGAGGTCCCCGGGCCTCATCTACCGAAATGCCAAGAAGTCCAACACGTCCAACGAAGAGTTTAAGCTGTTACTCCTCAAGAAAGGAAGTCGCTCGGATTCTAGTTACCGCATGTCTGCTACTGAGATCCTCAAGAGTCCCATCCTGCCCAAACCTCCTGGAGAGCTCACAGCTGAGTCCCCACAAAGCACCCATGAGGCTCATCAGGGGGCCCCTGGGGCCGAGGCCCTGTCCCCACTCTCTCCCTGCTCCCCGAGAGTTAATGCGGAAGGGTTTTCCTCAAAGAACTTTGCCACCTCGGCCTCCTCGAGGGTTGGCCGCTCCCGAGCACCCCCTGCAGCCAGCAGCAGCCGCTACAGCGTCCGCTGCAGGCTGTACAATGCGCCCATGCAGGCCATCTCTGAGGGCGAGACAGAAAATTCTGATGGGAGCCCACATGACGACCGATCCTCCCAGAGCTCAACATAGGTGGCCCGGGCCAGGCTGGCTGCCAAAGGCCAAAACCCTTAGTCGTATGAGGATGTAGGAACAGAAGAGAGGACTGGGGAGAAGTCAGCACACCATGGGGTACCATCACCGCTTACCAACGAATTCCTAAATATTGGCTGGGGAAATGGAAGATGGTCCTTCTTGATTATTTTCCACATTTTTAAGTAGCTGCACTGTCTTTCATATTTTTCTTTAGCTTAGTTTGATTTACCCAATCTCATTCCTTTTGATAATATAGAATTTGAAAATGTCTGCTTTTCATGAAACCCAGACAAAGTTTTCCCAGAGCTGCCTATTCAGAAAACAAAGCCCTCACTGTCATAATTCTTAAGATGATGAAATTACTCTGGAGGTTTGGTATTTTTTTACATTAAAATGAACTAAAGCAAAATTCAGAAGAAAGAACTACACACATGTAAATACCATATTTTTGATAAAAATGTGTAAATAGATTTATCAATGACGAGTGGACATGTGGCCAATTATCTACCACACACCAACTGTTTATAGAACACAACAAATAAAGTGTAATAACTGTATTCTGTGAATACCATTTTCATATAAAATACCATATTTAAATGTCCACCAATATGATTTTCTGAGTGATAGATAAACCTCAATTATGAATTTTAAACTGGTGAAATAAAGAAAATCTTGAGGTCATATACTGAAATGTGATTAATTTAAAATAATGAATTCAGACCTAGCCATTTTTGTGACAAATTGCAGCACCAAACAAGTGAATAGTAACACATGGCTATGATTTGCCATGTGGTAATTTGGACAGAATGAAAAGCATGCTTTTGATTTTTTTTTTTTTAATCAATGAGAAAAATCAACATTCTCAACACAAAGCCCTGAAGAACATTTGACAGTGTCTTTTAGATTTTTAATTTTTCAGTGGATTGCTTTAAAGAGAATGAATAGGGAAAACAATAGTTAATTTAGGTTATGTTTTATATTAGGCTACTGGGGACATAAACAGTCATCATCTAATGACTATAAACTCCTTAAACAGTTTAGTAATTAGCTCCAGTTTCTTTAACTAACAAAAATAAAACATAAGCATGCCACAGAGCTATTGATTTATCAGTAAGTACCTGCAATGAGTTTTCAGTGAAGCTTTCTCTCTGTGCTGATGAGATTCATGCTACCTAAAAAAAGTAACAGAAATGACACTGTGAACAATATAGTTGGGAAATAGGTATGTGTATAGGCATTATTTATATTCACTGTTAAACTGGGAATGGGGAACAGCTCTGGTTCACAATGCTACATACAAATGAGTTTTTGTCTGATTTTACTATATCTGCTTGATGGCAAAAGGGGAGGGTGGTGGGTGGGAAAGGAAATGTCAGGGTGAGTGCTCTGATACAATGAAGGCAGGGAAACAAGCTGAATTACTTGAAATTACTTGAATTTTCTTGTCTTAAAACTGAAAAAAAAGTAGTTACAAGTTGAAATCTGTAAATGATTCTTACACCTCTGATTTTAACGTGAACTGATACTAATGTATGAAATATGTCAGAAATATAAGCAGCTATGTACTTAAAATATGTTTTGAATGGGACAAGGTAGAAAGTAGAGAGAACTAAGAAGGGATATGGCCTATAAAAGAATAGAATGTGATTAGAATGATAGAACAGACCAGAGTTACCAAGAAATTGATAAGCAGCTGGCTTTAAGTTTATGCAAGTGGTATTTGGGAAAGTAGGATGTGTGAAAGGGGGTTTGTGGCTTTGGTTTAATTCATACCATATGAAGGAGAAAGCCTGGTCTAAGAGGATGCTGTCTTTCAATAGAAACACTTTCTAAGGTGTTATAGATTGAGAATTAGAGAATCTGATTGCTGTTGGGTTTTTGTTTGTAAAGAAAAAAAAATGTCTGTCTCCTACTATTTGTTTTCACTATCAAATTGTATTTCTTAATTTGTCATCCTTGTATGTAAAATATGAGCTGGGGGTGGTGGGGTAGAGGAGGGAGAACGTGTGTGTGGATGTGTGCGTGTGTGGGTGTGGGTGCTTGCGCTGGGATAGATAAGCTACCTGGTAAAGGGTACATTTGAACATTTACAAAGTGTTATACTTTTTATTAAAAGAAAAATGTTTGGGGGTTTGAAAAAAAATGGACCATCATTTCTCATTGGAACCCATTAGTCAAGAAAACCAGCATGGTTTGACACATGGGAACATGAATAACTTTTTCTCATGCTTTGAAAAGTACACTTGGCAAAAATTTTAAAAGAAAGTTTTTAGACAAATGCGATAAGAAACCATCATTTCCAGTCACAATAGGTGATCTTTTGTAATTTTCATAAAAGCAGTTCGTTTGCAGTATGGCTTTTGTGTAGTTAGGGGTTTTTTAAGCATAAAGAAAGGTATGTGGGCTTTAAAGTGATTCTAAATCTTGAATAGGAAACACATGAATTGGCTTTAATAAATATGTCACCTTTTTATTATTGACATCAATTTAAGTAATGGTACCATATATTTTTTAAAATACATACTGACTTGAATTGTGAGGCAATAAGATTCCTTCTATATGTAATGATCACAGAACTAACCCTTATAATATAGTTTTACTTATTTTGTTTACTCTAAAAATCTATAGCAGAGTTTCTCTATTTTATATTTCATAGATTTAAAAAAAACCCAAGTAATGATGGATTTTAAATTCACTGTGTTAAGAGTATTGAGTAACAAACTGAGTAAAAAAAAAAAAGTAAGGAATTCCTTATTAATCTGGAATATTCTACATGGCTTTATTACATAGCATATAAGACCAAGAATTAGAGGGCTGTCTTCAACATCACTGCCGTTTTGAAGCAGGGTACACACATTAGGTATTGTGAAAAACATCAATCCAAACTTTTCTTCTGTTGTTTGCACTGATGCTAATTTTTTGTTCTTTTATGTTTATGCAACATGTCTATGTTGTGTGGGGGAAAATTTTTTTCCTTTTTGTTTTTTTGTGTGTTTTGGGTTTTTTTTGTTTTTGGCTAAGTAGAGGACATGGACTAGTTGTAGCAAACAAAACACACTGTTTGCTCTTGCCAAAGGTCAGTGAGTGAGTACATTTGCTGCAGAGATGGCCGACTTAGAGAATTAGATCATGACAAAGATTTAAAACTATAAAGAAGGTTACAGTGTAACTATTTTGGTACTAGAACCAGTTCGTGCTGGCCAAAAAGACAATGGTTTATGGACTTGCATCCATTTTGTATTTTTGTAATATTTGTAAATATGAACTTTTTAAATTGTTGCAGAAATGGTTTCTTTTGTAAGATGTTTTCAACGTTTACATTCAATTCAAGCCTTTGTATATTTTAGAGCTGTGCAACACTTTAAGTCTTGTATTTATTTTTAGTAAAAATGGTGACAGTTTCATTGTGAACCCCTCTCAAAAAAATGTACCAGAAAAGTTTGATTACCTAGAAAGTGTGTATAGAAACTGCAAATAAACGTGACTGCAATTAAACAACCAGTTTCTCTTGGATTATGTAATTGTATTCTTGGGGTTTCACAAACAGCAAGGGTTTTTATAGGGAACTGGACATAAAGGAAGGTAACTGCTATAGCAAAAGTAGGTGGAAAAAATAATAAATAATGTATAATGAGCTCTAGTCTCATTTTGGGTTTTGGGTTTTTGGTTTTTTTTTAGATTTTTAAAAAAGTAATCTCAACACCCAACGTGGGGCTCCAACTCACGACACAGAGATCACGAACACGCTCTACTGACTGAGCCAGCCAGGTGCCTCGCTAATCCCGTTTTGTATTTGAGAGAAGAATAAATTTCCAATAGCTACTATACTTTCCTTGTAGCTCCTCTGTGAGCCAGGAGAAAATTTATGGCTTTAGTTTACAATACTCACCTGCTTTGCTTCTAATAATTACTCAAGACTGTGCCTTGTTCCGAAGATGGGCAGCCTCGATATTCATATTACAATACGCCACTAAATAAATGTCATGTGCCCTTTATTACATAGCAAATTTATGTCCTGGACAGTGTTCTAAGTGCTTTGCTTACTCAAACTCATGTACTCCCCACATTGTGCCCATTTTACAGACGGGGAAACGCAAGCTCAGAGCCATTACCTGACTCTCCCAAAGCCATGGAAAGACGAAATGTTGGGGCTGGGGTGAACCCCTGTAAATCTGGCTCCAGGGTCTATGTTACCTCTCCACGAGGTAACAACTTTTTAAAATAACTTTCCCCTGTTTGTACCAAGCCTCCACAACTAAGGCCCCATCCCGTCTCCTTCGAATTCCAGCAAAGACAAGCACACCTAGGACAGAGCCAATGTCGACGTCTGTGATGGGAAGGCGAGAGACAGAATTACATTTAAAAAACCAAAATTTTCGAAAACCAACCAATGACAGTGGGCAGGCCGGCACCCGACAGCCTCACCCTGCAGAGCCTTCTCTACGAAGCGTCTCCAGCGCTGGAAGGAAAGCCCGCGCGTGCGCGCCAGCGCCCCTGCGCAGCCGCAGAAACACCTCTCCGCATCGGAGGCTCGCGCCTCTGGTCTAATGCCAGGTCCCAATCCCACCAGCTTTTGCGAGCGGAAATCTGAACTGACACGCCCAGCTACAGACGCTCGGGGGCGGGCACTGCCGGCCGCGCAATGGGAAGCAAAGCCCCTCCCCTCGGCTGTCTCCCTAGCAACGTTCCTCCCCCCCCGCCCCCGCCCAACCGTTGCGCAGGCGCTTGCCGGATTGGTTAAGAGCCGTGTGAATGGCATGAAGCGTGCCGCGTGCTCCCGGATGCGCGCGTATTCCGGAGCTTCCGGGGTCCTCGAGGTAAGCGCCTCATATGGTCCAGCGCGACTTCCGGTGGGAGGACGGTTCGTGAAGCTGTCGAAGTTAACGGTCTTAGGCCGTTGATACTCCGGAAAGCTGGCTGACATTAATCGGGCCCCGGGCCCTTCGGCGGGCAGTGTGGCGGGTTCTGATGACAGAACAGGTCTGTTTAGTGGCACTTTTTCCTCCCTTGAACTTTCTTGTCCCTCGGTTGTGCGCGAAAAACCGCTGAGGTACGGTTTGGTTTGACGGTTGGGAAGCTCCGGGGCGGAGCGCGCGGAGGGCGCGGTGGGGTCCTGACAGGATTTGCCTTGAGGGAAGGAAAAGAACTTGATTTTCGGGATCGCGCAGAGGGGGTGGTTGAGGGTGGTTCCCACCTCCTGTCCCGGAGAGCAGCGGCTCTGTGCTTTTGAGATTTGGCCGCTGAGTACTTTGTGCTGACTTTCTGAGAGAAGTAGTTCGTTTTCCGTCGGTTCGCTGCCTCAGCGAAGGTGTGTTGGGCGGGGGGCGGGGCGGAGCGCGGAGCGAGGAACTACCAAGACTCTGAGACTTTATATAGAATTTTGAGTTTAAAGAACTGATGAACTAGCGAGTTGATTCGTTGGAACATTTTTTTGAGATTGAAACGTTGATTTTGAGGCTTTGTTGGTAACCTCGTTTGATCAATGACAGTGCAGTCTTCCTGGTTTATTGTATATAGAATATATATATAAACGCCGAGGCAAAAGAAAATAAAGGCATGATTGTTTGATAACTTCGTTAGTGATCGCTTCATTCCCGCCTCTCGGCTCTCCCCACATTAGGACTGCTCTAGAGTTTTAAACTACATTAATATTTACAAACAGTGATTTTATGAGCAGCTTTTCTTCATGGCGTTCCATAAAAACAGGGCATGGGCTCCATTCAGGGCTGGGTGCTGGGATACAGTTTGGGCGGCATTATCTTCCATCGGGCAACTTTGTGGTCGCTTAAGTTCGATACGGACAGTAGAGTAGTTTTCGGGTGAAACGCTGTTTTCAGCCTTAACATTTTCGGTCAGTTGATGAGATAAGTGAATGCTTTGGAACCTTGGAAGCTGAATCTTCAAATGACTTTTTTGAAAAATGCCTTTGAAATGCCTTTTTAAAAATGCCTTTTAAAAAGCCTTTGAAATGCCTTTAAAATGCCTTTTAAAAAGCCTTTTAAAAAATCAGATGGCTTCTTGTTCTTATGTTATCAAGAGTTTAGGTTTTCTGTGGTAAAATACAAATGAGCTTCATTTTAAGTAAACTCATTTTGCGGGATTTTGAGTTTAATGAGTTATTTTAATTAGTTTTGCATAATCCAGTCATGATTGGGCTCTAAGAAATTGTTGCAGAAACTTTTATGAAAAGAAGGGAAAGGAACTAAAATTGATGCTATGCTTGCTGTGAACCAGACATGATACTCAGTGCTTAACTGTATCATTTGGTCTTACACAGCTCTGTGAAGTAGATATTATTCCAACTTCACGAGTTTAGAAATTGAGGCACAGAGAGGTTAAATACCTGCTTGAAGCAAAATAGCAAATTTTGCAATTTGGATATGGATTAAAGTATTTTTAAAGTCCAGTTCTTTGCATTATGTCCTGGTGTTTAAAATTTGTTTACCAGAAATGGTTGCTATATCTGCAGTATACAGGTGCAATGTGAATGAAAATTACATGTTTTGACCCTGAGTATTTATTGTCCGTGTGCTCCATGACAAATAGTTCTGTTGGGAGGATGTTATGAATACCCAAATAATGAAATAACAGTTGCGAACAGTGGGTGCCTTTGCTATGCCGGCTGTGATGGTGAGCACTTGACGTGTATTAATTCATTTAATCCTCATAACTCCGTGTGAGGTCCGTACTATTATCGCCATTTTACAGATTTAAAAAAGAAAAAAAAAAAAAGCACAGGGAAGTCACGTAACTGATAAGTGGAGGAGCTGGGATCTAAAACCGAGGTATTCTGGCCCCAAGCCTAAGGTCTTTAGGCTGTTTGATGTTTCCTTTTCTGTAATGATGACCTCAAAAGCATTACTGTGTGAGTGTTCTGGTACTTTGGGGAAAGCAGTGTCACTTTCGGATGGGATGACTTAGCACCTTTTGCTTTGTGGAGATGGAACTTGAGTTGAGCTTTGACGTTGAATAGGTTCTCCTAGGTGGAGAACCAGCAGGGTATTGTGGGTAGAGGTCATGACAGGAGTGAGAGGTTCAAAGAGTGCAACATTGGTGATTTATAAATGTGCCACAGAGGTATAAATATCTCGTGTCTAGTCGTGGATTCAATGACTGCTGCATCTATGTCTAAGTACAGCCAAGTTTGGGCTGCAGTGTAATTATCCAGTAGAGAATTGTCTGATTTTAAGAGTCTATAACGGTGGTGGCAAACTTTGTCTATAAAAGGCCAGAAAGTAAATATTTTAGGCTAAGAACAAGGGGACAAGTGGTAAAAGGTGATCTCACTTGAGGGTGTGGAGACTTCTGACTGTGTAAGGACCATGTAGGCTATTGTAGGAGTTCGGGTTTTATTTTTGATAATGTTAGAGAAGGGATTCCAGGTGGTTTTAATAATGAGTAAGTAAAGCCCATTGATTCTGGAGCCAAACTGCACCAGTTACTAGCTATGAGACCTGGATAAATTATTTAAACTTGCTTAGCCTCAATTTTCTCTTAAGAAAAATGGGGATAAAATAACAGAGCCTGCCCCACAAGGTTGTCAGGAATACTAATGAGTTAACAATTGCTTAGAACCTTGCCTGGCACAGGGTCGGCTATAAAATCTGTTCGGTATTACTATCTGTACCTTGTGGTATATTCTAAATTTTCTATAGTAAAACATATGTAATGAAAAATTACACATATAAAATATCAAACAAAATTGTTAGAAATACAATGAGATTATAGGAAATACTATCAGAGTTGGGAAATTTGAATTCAATATTCTTACTCCTTGAGAGTTCAAGTAGAGGTGCGAGACTGCTCCACAGTGTTCTTTGTCAGATATCTGTTAACTGGGGACTGCTTACATAGATCATGTCCCATCTGCAAGATAGAAAATGAGAAACTTGTTAGAGTGACTACAGTATATCTAAAGGTATTGGTTTGGGAAGACTTATCCCACCATTGATTATTTTTGCCTGTTTTTGAGCTTTAGATCAATGGAATCATATAGTATGTTCTCTTTTGTGTCTGACTTTTACTCACGTTTATGGTTGTGAGATTCTCCTCATGTGTAGGAAGAGTTGGTTCGTTCTCATTGCTCTGTAGGCTTCCTTCGTATGAAAACACAACAGTTTCATTATTTATTATTAGTCTTATAATCAGAGTAAAACAAATGGTTTAAAAAACAAAAATTGAAGTTATACCTGAAATTGGAGGTTTTGGGGGTTTTTTTTGAGAGAGAGAGCATAAGT